TCAATCGAATTTTACATTTCGTGTCATATATTCAAAGAGATCTTAGAATGCGTTCAAAATTTACATGATTTAAAACCTCCAGTCATTCATAGAGACCTTCACTCGGGAAATATATTACTGGCCAGAAATGTAAGGAATGGCAGGTTTTTCAAAGTGGCTGACTTTGGGTCTGCTACTATTCGCAAATCTATATCAACCGTAAGTAACCCGACGCGTGAGGCACCGCAAGTACGTAGGGGTGAGTCAAATGACCCAAAGAGTGATGTCTATAGTCTGGCCATAACTACAGAAGAGATATTTAGCTTTGATGTGGACGACATTATGCGGTCAGTTATACAGTATGTGATTGTATTGATTAAATTATTTCTATATTCAGAAGTAGTTCACAGAAGTATTCATTAGTTAATGAAGTGTTAAACAAATGTGTCGTTCATTTGAAACAAGAAATAAAAACGATGTTATCCTTAGACCCGACTGTTAGACCCTCTTGTGGTGAAGTATTATCGGAATATAACTTATGGTCTATTCATAGGAACTGTGTCGAAAATGATCCCACATTTGAATCGACACTAAAACTTATTCATCGAAATGACAATAAGTTTTTCATTGAATTTTTTAAAACAAAATATCTTTAGTGTGAAAACTAAATATAAAATTTTTCACAATGTTTTTTAAATATGCTAAAGACTAACCATTTAATCAGTAATTAATATTTAATATTTAAAAAATAATGTCATATTGTATGTTATTTTATTAAATGAACTTTATTTACTTTATTTATATTTATTTACTGTATGTTCATTATTATAATATTATAATGTATAATGTAATATCATAATTATATTATATTTTGCTATATGCAAAAATATATTATTAAATTATAATTTCAATTCATATTTTAATTATTTCGTATGATTTATGGTCCATTGTAATTTTAATATAATATGATTTTCTAATGACTATATTATTGATTAGCAAAACATAAATCTTAAAAACGACTTAAAAGTATTTTAATTATACGTTTGAAAATAAAATTATATTACAGTATTAAGGGATCACTTGAGGCTTATCTCTGTATACATAGGAGTATATGAAAATCGATTTGCATTTTCATTTAATATATGAAAATATATCGCATTTTATGCAAATTTTGTGTATTTGAAAATGACAATTATTATATAAAACATGATTATTTTGACATATAAATGGTTATATTAATTCAGAAATATGTGAAATGCACATTTTTAATTGATACTAAACACATCCTATTATTTTATTATAATTGATTGCAAATTAGTGTACATATATAAAATACTTGTATTCTAAAATTTTATATTATTATATTATATACACTACTGGAATTAGTTAACTTTATCGGCTTAAAATTAAATGCTCGAAAACGGATAATCCAATCTTAATCCTCTCTTCATGGATTTATAGCCCCAACTTCCCGGTTTGTAAAAATATATTATATGCCATACAAATTTACCATGGTAACTGCGCAATTTAGCATTTAAAAATTGATGTTTTACATAGAAAAGCATTATATTTGAATGAAAAATATTTAAATAAAATTAAATATTTAGATTTTACTCTCTATATCCATTCTCTCTCAATCACGTACTCTCTCACACCCACTCACACTTTCTCACACCCACTCACACTTTCTCACACCCACTCACACTTTCTCACACACACTCACACTTTCTCACACACTCACACCCACTCACACTTTCTCACACACACTCACACCCACTCACACTTCTCACACCCACTCGCACTTTCTCACACACACTCACACCCACTCACACTTTCTCACACCCACTCACACCCACTAACACTCACTGCATTACAGTAATACAGTATTACTGTATTATTGGATTACTGTATTATTGGATTACTGTATTACTGTATTATTGGATTACTGTATTACTGTATTATTGGATTACTGTAATACTGAAGTATTGGATTACTGTAACGTTGTTTATGAATGGCATTTGATTTGTAAACAAAAGTTTTGTCAACAAATCTTACACTCATTACTAGTCAACAATTAGTCAATTATTTGTGATTACAATGCCTTTGTCTGTTGAAGATCGGGAACTATACTTCCGGCGGTTCATTAAATTGAGAGCCTGTGGCAAACATTCCCCTGTTGAGATCATGAGACTCTGTAGTGAGTATTAATTATTGATTTTGATTAACATAAATATTAATTAACATTAAATATTAAGAAATATCGAGGCCTACATTCAATGAGTGGACACGTATTGACGACAACGAAGAGCTGTTCCTAACCCTTCCACGAACTGGAGGGTTGAAAAAGTCAACCACTGATGAGGACGATATGACCCTTCGTGAGGTTGCTTTGGCCAACCAATGGTCATCAATAGATGAGTTGAGACAACTCCCAGAAATCAGTGGGAATGAGAGGTTATCTGCATTGGGAGATCGGGCATTAAGGGATCGATTGGCAGATTCAGGTTAGAAAACATTAATTTTGTTAATTTGTTTATAAATATTGATTATCTAATTCAGGTGTCAAACATCGTATTGCGGCCCATAAGGAACGCCTCTCTGATTGGCACAAAGAGCAGCGGTTTGATTACGCCCACCAATTCATGAATTGGTCACTCGTTGATTGGGCTCAAGTCATATTCATCGATGAGTTTAGGATCTGCAGTGGAGATCGGGGACAGATTTTTGTTTGGCGCGAAACTGGGACACGATTTGATGAGCGCAACATTGCGTTAGTTTCAAACACTCGCCGATTCACTCTCTCATTCATTGTGTGGTAATATTCATTCATTGGTTTGAAAATAAAAATGATTTTAATATTTATTATTAGTTTTAGTTTCCATGGGATTGCGCCGGTCTATCGTGTCGACCGTTTGAATCAAGGCTCATACCGGGACTACCTGGTTGACCTTAAGGCCAATTACATCGACAAACACTTCGATGACGGTAATGTTCTTCTGCTCCACGACGGTCACCCGGTGCACAAATCCACACTAGTCTTGGATTGGATTACAGCCAATATTGGATATCACAAGGACTTTGTGTTTCCCCATCCAGGGTAAGCATTTAGTTTCTATTAATATTTCAAAATTTATAAATTTATTTCATATCAGACTGTCACCTGACCTCAATCCATGTGAAAATGTCGGTGGAATGGTTAAGTCACTTGTAAGGAGTGAACACCCATTCATCAACAGCGAGGATCAGCTCTGGGAG